AAGTTCAACATACTAAAAGAAATACTCCCAAAATGCTCAAAATTGTCAAAACATAGTCCCCAGTTTCCTCCTGTAGAGGGACAGGCCCGACTTAAACCAACGCCAGAATTATCAACATCGCGGACCAGGAAGGAGGCGCGGTCGCGTTTCGCCTCAACCAGCCGCACGGAGCTGGCCTGTCGGCAGCCGCGGACAGGCGAAGTCGAAAGGCGCCTACCTACACCACGGGAGCAGGCTCGCCCCAGGGAGCAAAGTCAGTCCGCGAGGGAAATTCGCTAGCCCAGCGGGCCAGAGGCGTGCTGAGATCTCTGGCAACAGGTAAACCATCTTTCTTCATATCACTCGCGCGCGCGGGGCGGCCCCTGGGGGTCCCAGGGCCAAGCAATACTCCCCGGCAGGTCCCCGGCGAGGTCCTGCCAGAGATGGTTTTGCTCCTAGGCGCCGCCCAGTGGGCCTCCCACGGAGCCCCAAGAGGAGCCAAGAGACCCCAAAAAGCCATCGAGATGGTCCAAGAGAGCCCCGAGACGCCACAAGATCGCTCCTATAGACGCCCAAGATCGCCTCCAGACGGCCCACGAGGCCTCTAAGACGCCCCAAGAGGCCTCCAAGAGGCCTCCCAAAAGAGTCCCAAGAGACAAAAATAACTGATTTGATGTTGGTGTTTTGAAAGACTTTCGCGTTTTCGCCTTTTCAGCTTCCAGACGCTCCAACGCGGCCCAAGAGGCCCCCAAGACTGCTCCAAGACGGCCCAAGGATCTCCAAGAGGGCCCCAAACAGTCCCAATACTTCCAAAGAGGCCTCGAGGACAGTCCAAAAGGCCCCCAAGACGGCTCTGAGAGAGGCCCCCAGGTGGCCTAAAGAGGCCCCCAAGGGGCCCCTAAGAGGCCCCAAGAGGCTCCCGAGAGGCCCCCTCTGAGGCCCCAGACGGTTTCAGAAACATCGCCAAGAGGCCCCCGAGAGGCCTCCTATCTGAACGCAGGATACACAACTTGCACCGGACGACACAAATCTTCAGACTGCCCCAAAACCGAACATCCGCAAAGGACATTCTCAACGCCAGCCCAAGCTAAACACCTACATGCAGCATGCACCGCAGAGGCCCACAACAGATCCCCCCCAAGCAGCTCAACAGCAACTGCTTCCGTTCGAACTCTCCCCACGCACCGCGCCAGAGAACAGCCGCCGCCCAACAGCACCACGTTGACAGCGAAGACACGGGCAACCGAGAGCCGTCAAACAATATGGGCCGACGGAGTGAGCGAAGCGACGAAAGAAAGGAACGGGATGGGCCGAGTTAGCGCGGAGGAGGCCAGGTATACAGGCGGAGTTCTGCCACGCGAAGGTCCACAGTGGGGGAGCGAAGTCCACCGTTGGCCCCTGCCTGCGCGCTGGCGCGCAGCAAGCGGCTGAGGCGGCACAGTTCGGTCGCCCAGCGAAGAAGGACGAGAAAAAGGGGTCGTTGGTTCATACGCTTGACCTGTCTTCGGGGGCGGCCAAGAGGGGGGGCGTCCAAGAGGGGGGGGGGGGGGGCGCAAATCATGGCTGGCGGCATGTGCGCGGTCAAGGGGGGGGCCAGAGATGCCTTGAAATACGAAGAAGCGCCGTGAACTCTGGGGGAAAATCATGGCCCACGCCATGATCTCCACCCTCCCCTGGTCCTAGCCCCCCTCTTCGCCGCCCCCGATGTCTGATATTCGTTCATCCGGCCCGTAGCCTTAAGTCGGGCCTGTCCTCCCACAGGGGGATTCTGGACGAAACATGAAGAATCGTCAGTGTCCCAAAATGGCAAAACAAAAATTCAAAAAACCGTCCCGAGACTAGTGTTGCTGTTTTTTTTGTAAATTCCTCGTGCAGAGGGCCAGGCTCGACTTCACCGTGGCCCCGACGAGCGAGGCCTGGAACCCCACTGGCCGATTCGCTCCCCCAGATGGGGACCTCTGCTCCCGGGCCCCGGGCCCGCGCTCCGCCCCCCCGGCCCAGATGGGATGGGTCTCGGGGTCCGTCGGGTCCCCCAATCCCCACCCCGGATGGGATGTGGGGAAGGGACGACGACGACGACGACGACGACGACGACGACGACGACGACGACGACGGCGACGGCGGCGACGATGACGGCGACGACGACGACGACGACGACGACGACGACGACGACGACGACGGCGGCGACGGCGACGGCGACGGCGACGGCGACGGCGACGGCGACGGCGACGGCGACGGCGACGGCGAGCATGACGACGAAGAGCACGATGACGCCAACGACGACGACGACGACGACGACGAACGACGACGACGAACGACGACGACGACGACGACGGCGACGATCACGGCGACGACGACGAAGAAAACACCGTCCGCTCCGGCTCCCTGAAGCACTGCAGCACCCCACGCCACACCCAGTGGGAGGCGACGACGGGGAAGACACGGTGAGCAGGGAACTCCTGGGAGGTCTTCGTCAGGACCATTGAGGGCTAGTCAGCTAAGGGCCAATAAACCAGAGAAAGCCAGATGAAGCCCGCGGGATTCAGCCCAATTGAGCTGGACTAGACCGGACTCAGCGGGATTGAGCTGGACCGGGCGGGACTCAGCCAGATTGAGCCAGAACCAGACCAAGGATAACTCCGGGGTTATCGTTAGCACCGCACCAAGATTTCATAGTTTCAGGGGCCGTTTTCGCAGAGCGATACCTGTAGCACCTCGCACACATCAAAAACCAAAACTCCGTGGCGCGTCGCGCGCCGCGCGTCTGCGGGCTCCTCCAGTGCCGGGGTACCGCTTCCAGGGTGCCGGATGGGTTGTACTTCCACCGGATGAGGGGGGGGTTCTTAAAAGCTTGATGCGGTTATACCAGCGCCGATTCAGAGCTCAAGCGCCCAGGATTTGCACACCAACCACGGGGAACGCAGGCGCTCGGCGACGACCAGCAGCCTCGGCCTGGCGGCGAAGACGAGACGCCGGCGGCGACCAGGCCGAGGGTGGTGGCGCCCTCTTGGCGGCGTCGGGGCCGCGTGCGCGTCGTTGGTTGGTACCGAGGGCGCCGCGCGACGGCGCCACGAAGCAAGAGGGCGGAGAGGAAGAGTGCGGGCGCGGCCGCAAGAAACCCTCGCAAGAAACCCAACCCTGAAAGCCCGTGCGCGAGGTGCAAGTGAGGGGGAACCTGGAGCACCCCGAACGCAGCAGCTCCTTCAACAGCCGCGGGAAGTCACCGCGCATCGCGTGGAGCGAAGAAACCCAGGGTACCCTGACGAAAAGTAGATGGTTTCTTGATGCGCCCCCCCACTGTTCCCCCAACAATGTCGATCTCTGTGTAATAGTGTGTTCCACCATAGCCTGACGCATGAGAGCACTTTGCGAATACACACTTGGGTAGAGTTCGTGAGGGCCGGAAGTGTCAGCGTCGCATCGGAAAAACGGATGGGATCGGAACGCGCGCCGGATCGGCCTGCATCGGTAGGGAAACTGAATCGAGTCGGATCGAACGGCCCGAGATGCCCAACAGCGCCGTGCGAGCGTCGGACCGCATCGGATCGCCAGACAAGATCGGAATCGAGTCGGAACAAGCAGGCCGAAGCCGAGATCGAGTTGGAGCGGCCAGGTCGGCTCTGAGTGGAGCCTGCGGCGGAAGGGGGGCGACGAAGGCGGAGGCAAGGAGAAGCCATGAGGGGGAGTGGCAGGAAAGGGCGGCTCACGAGGGGATGTCTCGAGCTCGCATCGGCGACGTGTACCGCCGACCGATCGGGGAGAGGTCCCCGACCACCGATAGAGACAGACCGCACGTTCCCAGGCGGGGCCCCTGTCGGCAATGAGTGGGCGATCGTGGGTCGATGCACCCCCCTGAACCCACGCACCCATGACCAAGGGCTCCCAACCTCGCGCTTCGCGCTGCGCGAAGCGCGAAGTGCGACTGACTCCGCGCTCTCGCGCCGCCTCCCAGGGGAGAAGAGGAGGATGAGGAGGAATCGGAGCCGAACCGCGAAGCGTGGAGCGCGAAAAGCTTCGCGCCCTCGAGGGCGCCCTTGCGTTGGGGGGTCGATGCATCCCCCCTGAGCCCACGCACCCATGAATGAAGGGACCCCGGGACACACAAATAAATACACACACATAAAAATATCCCCTGTGTGTTCCTATATTTTCTGGGTTTTTGTCTTCCCCCCACTTCCCATATTTTTCCCTGGGAATCGACGATGACTTGTGTCTGTGTGTGTTTGTCCCCTCCTGAGTGACGGTGCCCCCGAAGCCAGGAGCAGCGAAGCCTGCAGAGGCCGCGCGTCGGCGCGCGGAGAGCCGGCTGGCGGCGCGCCGAAACGGGGGGTTTTGTACCTGGAAGGGGCAGGGCCTCTCGCGAGGAGGCTGCTCCTCGGAAGGCGCGGGGGGCCTCACTGAAGGGGCCCTGGGGCACACAAGTGAATACACAAACCTAAAACAAGGAGTCACCATATGTTCCTGCATTGTCTAGGCTTCTGTCTGCCCCCCACTTCCCATGTGTTCCCACATCTTCTGGGAATCGACGATTAATTGTGCCTGTGTGCCTTTTCCCTCCTGAATCACGTCCTGCGACAATGAAGGGAGGAAGAACCGCCCCGACCGGACAATCAGCGCTTACGAAACGGCCCTGGGCGTTTCCTACACCGCCCTGCCCTGTTTGATTCCTTCTTTGGGTGCGTTAACGACACGGCCTCGCGGGTCGGGCGGGGTGGCGACTCTCGGGGTGGACTTTTCCTGCCCTCTATAGACACAGCCCCTCGCCTTCTACGACGCCCTCCCCCCTCGCCCTGCCCCCCTCTGCGCCCGGCGTCGGGCCCGAAGGGGCGGGAGAGGAGGAGGAGGAGGAGGCGGAGGAGGAGGAGGAGAGGGAGGAGGAGGAGAAGGGGGGATGAGGAGGAGGAGGAGGAGGAGGAGGAGGAGGAGGAGGAGGACGTGAGACCAGTGAGACCGCGAGGGGGGGCCGGCCCCTCAGTGGGAGACGGACGTCCTCGGGAGGTCGTAGGCGCCCCGCAGGAGCTTCATGGAGTGGATCTGCGACCGGGGGGCTCTGGGCGTCCTCCCCCGCGCTGCTCCTTCCGCTCCTCCTCCTCCTCCTCCTCCTCCTCCTCCTCCTCCTCTCTCCTCCTCCTCCTCCTCCCACCTCCTCCTCCTCCTCCTCCTCCTCCTCCTCCTCCTCCTCCTCCTCCTCCTCCTCCTCTCCTCCTCCTCCTCCCCTCCTCCTCCTTCCTCCTCCTCCTCCTCCCACCTCCTGTTCCTCCTCCTCCTCCTCCTCCTCCTCCTCCTCCTCCTCCTCCTCCTCCTTCCGTCTCCTCCTTCCGTCTCCTCCCATCCGTCCCCTCCTACCGTCTCCGCCTCCGGCCTCCTCCTCCCCCCTCTTTCGCCGGCGTGCCTGTCCAGGGCTCGCGTTCGCTCGGGGGCTGACTGCAGAGCCACGCCGTCCGTGCTGCCAACTCGCCGAGCGCAAGCTGTGGCCGAGGGTGCACGGCAGAGAGGTCCAACTCCATCAAGTTCAGCTCCAGAAGGATCGTGCGTACACGTCGGTCGGAAGAAGGAGGTAAAAGCATGAAGTAGGAAGGCGGGTGAAGTAGGTTGGGCTCAGGTCCCCCCAGAGAATAACAAGACACGGCAAAAGGATGGCAATGATTGAGGTAGGAAGGCGCTTGAAGTAGATTGGGCTCTGGAAATCTGGACATACCAATGTTCAACGACCGGCGTGTACTGTTCGACGGTGCAGGTCAAGGACAGCAGATTGACCGAGTTCGATGTGGTGGGCAACCGCACGTCAGACAACTTCGCCGAGCCAGGCGCAGATCCCGCCGCAGCGGGTGAAGATCAAGGGGCCCAAGGACACACATATATATATATATATATATATATGTGTGTGTAAATGCACACAAAGAAAGAGATGCCCCATATTTTCCCATCTCTTCTGGGTGCGTGCCTGGCCCCCCACTCCACGCAGTTTCCCATACCTTCTGGGGAACCGACGAGTCACTGCGTCTGTGCGTCTGTGTTGTTTCCCTCCCGAGAAAAGTTCGGCCTCCAGCGCCTGGGGGGGGGGGCCCGGTGGCCGCGGCGCAAGCGTGCGAGCCTGCGGCTGGGACTGCAGCGAAGCTGGCCACTGGCGGAGCCGGCGACCCCCTCGGGGCAGAGGAGCCCAGCGTCGGATCGACAAGACGGAAGGGGCCCTGGGACACACGAGCAAATAGACATAACAGGGTTCCCCATATTTTCGCACATCTTCTGGGTTTCTGTGTTCCCCCACGCTTCCCACATGTTCCTGCGTGTTCTGGGGAGTCGACGATGAACTGTGTCTGTGTGTTTCTTTCCCTCCTGAAAAACGGAGCGGTGATCGAGATGACTCGGATCGGCGGGAATCGGCAGCCGAGTCGGGAGACGTCGCATCGGCGGAAATCGACAGGCTAAGAGGCCTCCATTGAGAATGGAGGCTTCGGCTTCCGATTGCAATCGGAAGCCGAAGTCGCATCAGATCGGAATCGGAAGCCATCGAAATCGATCCGTAGCGGATCGGAGGAATCGAAATGAGCCCTGCCCCGGTGCTGATTCGGTCAAGTTGGTCGGCCTGGCCCCACGTTGTGGACCCCAGGGCTGTTCAGTCCGTCCTTGTGCCCTGTTCGCCAGAGGCCCCCCCGACTCTTCTCCTGCAGCCAACGCTCCCTGCGCTGCTGCTGCTGCTGGGAGGGCATCGGAGACCAGGACAGGACAGCCGAGGGGGGCCACAGTCGAAGTGTGTGGTTCGGGACGGGTGGCACGGACGCAAAATCCTTGGAGACCGAAACTGGCCATCGCTCAGACGTCCATTCACTGTGTTTTTTTGGTTTCGTGCGTGTTTTTTCGCCAAATGATCATGGATGCTCCTCGATGGCCCTCGCCGAGAAAAAATGCACACGTCCGAGCGATGCCAGGGAAATTGGGACTTTGGGGGGCGGGCGACCAGTGAAAGCGGCAAAAGACGTGCCGCAGAGGCAAGGACATGAAGGCGCGCGTCCTCACCGGGCGCGCGGACTGCAAGGACCTGGGAGGCCTCATGCGAACCCTGCCCCACCTCCCCCCCTCGAAATCGTGGGGTGGTTGGGGTACTTTTCGCAGTGGTCCACCGAGACGAGGCTCGCAGGCGTCTGTCTGAGAAATCTCCTGCATCCCTCCGGTCCGCGCGCCGCCCTAGAGGGACCTCGTGCCCCCTCTGCGGCCACACGCGTGTACTGCTCAGTCCACTTTGGCGTGGCACTCGAGGGCGGCCCCAGCTCGTGTGCGAGGATTCTCCCCTTTTCTGGGTCGCCCCCTCCTGGACGGGTGGGGTCTCGACTCGGTGCTTCTGCGCTTTGGCCTCGGATCCCGTGCTGAAGCACAGAACTTCTGGCAGCGAGCGAGGGGGGAACGTGCAAAGGAGAAGGCCTCTTCAGAGAGAGGGAGAAGGCCTCTTCAGAAGGGGGCGGGCTTTCTCCGAAGCCCTCCAGCCTGCTGAGAAGCTATCAGCGCTTCCGGTGGAGGCTGCGGAAACTTCTCCGAGAGGCCGGGAGAATCCTCCGTCTTCTGAAAGGTTCTGCCCCTTCTCACTTCCCCCCCGGGGCTCGCCGCCAAGGGGAACTTGGGAGGAGCGTGGTGGCACGCCGTGCTGAAGCCCATGCACGTCGGGTCGGGCCGGAGGCCGAGCCCGACGACGCCCGGAGCGAGGTGCTCTTCTTTGGGGGAGCGTCGGCGGGTCGAGGCGGGGCCGTCCTCCCCAGCCGGGGGCACCAGAAGACTTTCCTTCAATGCCCCCCCCTCCGTTTTTCCCGCGTCTCTCCCCTGGATTCTCACCTCTGTGGGCGTCTAAGCTCGACCGCGTCCTCCTCCTACGTCTCCTCCTCCTCCTCCTCCTCCTCCTTCTCCTCCTCCTCCTCCTCCTCCCATCCTCCTCCTCCTCCTCCCTCCTCCTCCTCCTCCTCTCCTCCTCCTCCTCCTCCCTCCTCCTCCTCCTCCTCTCCTCCTCCTCCTCCTCCTCCTCCTCCTCCTCCCTCCTCCTCCTCCTCTCCTCTCCTCCTCCTCCTCCTCCTCCTCCTCTCCTCCTCCTCCTCCTCCTCCTCCTCCTCTCCTCCTCCTCCTCCTCCTCCTCCTCCTCTCCCGAGGAACCACCTCGTCGCAGACACTAGGCACGAAGGGTCGGGTTGTAGGGCTCAGGGTGGTTGCGCCCAGCCACAATCCCCCCCCCTGTCGTGTGTGCACTGGCCACCCTACCACACGTTACGAACGCCTCCCATTTCCACCCTGCCGACTTCCAGGGTCGACAGAGTTGGTAAAGGGGTAAAAAGGATTTGGCCCCAGTGCCCAGACCGGGGGCACCGATCCCCTGGTCAGGGGGGTCGTTAGGCCTGTTCCCCATTTGGCCCTCAGAGACCCCACATTCGGGGATCACCAGCCCGATCGGGGACATACGGGGGTCCTATTTTGTTCGTGGCCCCCCAACCAATGCAACTCCTACCACGGGCAGTCGTCTTCTGTGCTAGGTGCGCCAACAAGGCGCCACAATCCAATGGGGGTGTTCAGACGCTTCCCACGACCCGAAGGATGCCCACCACCGTGCGCATTGCAGAATACGTGGGTGCCCTCGTCGGTTGTCGGTTGCGTCATCAAGGCGCCACACACCACCATGGCAGTTGTTGTTTATGACGGTTCCGCCGTCGGATGCTCAAGAGCTTCGCCAAGGTACCACCAGACCAGCGGGGGTGTTCGGGCTGTTCCCTTGGCCCTCCGAATCCCCCTCATCAATACAGCACCTACCACGGGCGGTGGTTTTCTGTTCGAGGTGCGCCAACACGGTGTTAGGGCTGTTCCCTTGGCCGTAAGGACCCCCCCCAAAAAAAAAAACGGCGCCAACCACCATGCGCACGGTTGCCTACGCAGGCGCCCTTGTCAGCCGCTGGCTGCACCATCAAAGCACCACACGCCACCATGGCAACTGCGGCTCATAACATAACGTCCCCGCCGTCGGATGCCTACGAGCGCCGTTAAGGCACCACCAGCCAAGGGGGGGGTCAGGACTGCTCCCTTGGCACGACGAAACCCCATAAATCCAGATGTCATCGCATGACTGTACCTTTCGGACCACGCCACGAACGTCGCCAAAGCACCCACCAGTCAGGTGGGTTGGTCGGGCTGTTTTTCCCTTGGCCCGAATAATCCCCCTCCCCACACTCACAAGGAGCGGCCAACACAGGAGGACGCTTCCAGGGCTGACTTCCCATACAAAGCGCCACAAACCAGAGGAACCCCACAACACGGTGCCCACCACCATGTGTACTGCCACCAATGCGGGCGCCCGTGCCGGTTGTTGCTTGTCTGCGCCATCAAAGCACCACGCACCACTATGGACACGGTAGGTCATGACGGCCCCGCTGTCGGTTGCATGTAAGCGTCGCTACGGCACCACCAGTCAGGGGGCGTGTTCGGGCTGTTCCTTTGGCCCGAAGAACCCCCCGAGCACCAGTTCCACCACCGCGGCCAGAGTGGATGTTCGGGCTGTTCCTCTGGCCCCGGGCCCCTCCTCCAGACTCCCCTGGCGCTGGTCCCCCCCCCTCCCCCGTCTTCCAAGGCAGCTTTTGGTTCCCCTCGGCTGAGGGCGGCCCGAAGGGAGCACCATAGCAGGGAAGGCGAAACCCAAAACATGGTGGGGTATTCGAGTCCTCCCTCCCCGATGGCCCGAAGGCCTCCCCAAACGCCCACTCCTCTCCCCCCGTCAGCCCAGGAGGCATTCATTCCCCCCCGGAAGGAAACAGCTCCTCACACCGCTGCAGCGTCCTGGGGCCGTGGCGCACTTGCGGCCAACACAATCTAAGGCACGGTGCTCCCGCTTGAGATTAAGTTGGCTATGATGGCAACTTCCCCACCTGTCCACCGCAATCGCTGTGTGGAGCACACTTTCGTGACTTTCACTTCGCCATCGGCTTCTGGACGGTGAGTTGATTAGCTCCGGGATCCAGGGCGCTACGACAGCTTCCGCCGGCTGCAGCTGGAGGCGAAGGAAGGGCCAG